CTCGCGGTACTGTTTTAGAAAAGGCCTTTTTTCAAAGCAACCTTTGCGTTTTAAATGATGGAAAACCAACGCACTTCTCAACTCATCATACTTTTTCACATATTGATTTAACATGTTGCTCTCCATCACTTCTTCCTTTGGTGTCCTGGTCTATTTCTGATGATCTACATAATAGTGATCACTTTCCAATCATAATCGATCTTAAACTTTCAACGTCCTCTGCTACTCCAGCAAAACAGGCCAAATTCCTCCTAGATAAAGCGGATTGGATCAATTACTCCAAACAAGTGGAGTCATTTTTGAATTCAAAGCCATTTAACGGAAACTGCAACCATGATGCTGCTATTATGTCTAAAGCGATTCGCACGGCTGCTCATCTTTCTATCCCTCAATCCAACACCTCTTTTAAACGAGCTAGGGTTCCTTGGTGGAACAACACGCTTTCGTTTTTGAGGAAAAATAAAATGGATCTATGGCACCGCTTTAAGAGATGTCCTGATCAAAATCACTTGTTATTATACAAAAAGGCCAATGCTCTATTCAGGAAGGAATTACGGAAATCAAAGGCACTTAGTTTCGAACTTTTTTCGAGACGAATTCACAGAAATACATCAATGAAAGTTGTCTGGAACAAAATCAACAGACTTAATGGGACTTCAAACCTGAACGAAATTTCTGCCATCTGCACTCCCAATGGAACTTTAACTGACGCAGATGAGATTTCTAATTACTTTGGAAAAGTGTGGTGCGAATACTCCTCTGACAGCAACTTCTCCAGTGCTTTCATTGAAAATAAAAGGACTCCAATATCTCCTCCAAATAATATCGATAGATGTGCCATGTTCCTGGAAAATTGCGTATCTACCTCAGAACTTGGAAGTTGTCTCTCCAATTTGAAGGGGAAGACACCTGGTCTAGACCGCATCTCATACCAAATGATCAGTGCTATGTCTAAGTCTAGTAAAAAGAAATTACTGGACCTATATAATACGGTATTTATGACTGGCCATATACCCTACATGTGGAAACTGGCAACAGTTGTTCCAATTCCAAAGTCAAAAAATGTCTCCATCGCATCAGATTATCGCCCAATTTCTCTTTTACCTTGCCTCTCTAAGGTATTAGAGAAGATTATGGCATCTAGATTATCTTGGTTTCTTGAGTCCAAGAACCTGATAACAAAGCAACAAGTTGGTTTCAAGCGGGGTAGAGGGTGCATCGACGCTCTGTTACATATTGATTATTTCACAAGCAAAGCAATTTCCGAACGAAATCACGTAACAATTCTCTCAATTGATTTCGAAAAAGCATTTGATAGAGTTGGTCTTCATGTTATCTTAAGACTCTTGAAATCATGGAATGTTGGACCCAAATTCTTCAACTACATCAAATCATTCATGTCGCATCGGCGGTTCAAAGTTAGAATCAACAATTATCTTTCTGATTCCTTTCCGCTAATGAATGGCATTCCGCAAGGATCTCCTCTCTCTCTGTCACGCTTTTCCAGATAGCTTTCAACGAAATTAGCAAAATTCTTTATCGTGTACCAAGAGTGGAACATGGTCTCTACGCGGACGATGTATACATTTTTACAAAAGAAAAAGACAACACGAAAGCAATCAACATCCTCGAATCTATTGCATGTGAGATCTCCACGTGGGCAAACTCGTCAGGAGCTAAAATTTCTATACAAAAATCAAAAAAAATGCATATATGTCGAAAACAAATGTGCGATGCAGGAAACCTACTGATGCATATTAACGACTTACCAGTACTAAATGTGCAGACGCTCCATGTTCTCGGGCTCACGTTTTCCAACAATTATCGTTGGAAAGCACACTGTCTTCGGTTAAAAAACTCCCTCTTAACAAGGGTATATTTCATACAGTACGTTGCTTGGAGAAGCCATGCGCATATTAACACTATCGCTTATCTTACCAAAATGCTTGTGTTAAGCAAGATTGACTATGCTTTGATAATTTATGGCAATAGCTGCAAATCTAATATCAACATCCTTAAACCGGTCTATCACCAAGCCGTCAGAGCAAGTTGTTATGCTTTTCGGACGACGCCCATAAATAATATTATAATTGAAACTGGTCTCCCAACTTTAGAAAATAGACTGTATGAGTTAAAAGCTAAAATAGTCCCTAAGCTTCTTAATTCAAACAAATCCATTCTCGGTGATGACGTAAGAAAGATTATTATTGCGAAGAAAATTCCAAAGTCACCATCTGCAATTGACCATTGTTTGTGCATCGCAAAGGAATTGAACATTCCCTTAAAAATTTCCCGCTCTTTTGGTGTGAAACCTCCCTGGATTTTGAAAGACTGCTCTTTTGACATCTCACTGTCTATGCACAAGAAAGAAGATACTCCAAATTACGTCTTCAGGAATTTAATAGCTGAAAAAACCCAAGTATTGGACAGTACTGTTTGGAATCTTTTATACACAGACGGCTCAAAATCTCCTGGTCTGCCTCCTGCTTGTGCGGTGGTAGATGCTACAGGACGGGTTCTTCTCAACCACATATTTCACGAAAGTACTTCAACTTTCACAACGGAAGCCAGAGCTATCCTTCACGCTGCCAACCTTGCCCATAAAAACAAACTCAAAACCGTTATTGTTACCGACAGTTTGTCTGTATTACAAGCTGTTCGGAATCCTTCGACTTCGAGATGGAGCACCATCAACAAATTAAGGAATATAATTACTACACCCGACGGAAAAATTAAAATGTTATGGGTACCAAGTCACATCGGTTTACTGGGAAATGAGCAGGCGGATTTAGCGGCAAAGTATGCTGCTTCTGCTCCTCTAATTATGGATGATGTCATGGAAAAGTTGGATTTTCAAAGTTACATTGGAAGAAAAGTTAAAGAGAAAATTACAGAAGGAAATTTACAACACCATCATCAACACTATTCTTTTATTAACCCTCAATTAACTCCACCTTTATATCCAACAAACGTTGAGAAAACCAAGATCCACATTTTCGAGAATTCGCCTTGGTCATACAATTGCAACTCACCAATGGGTCCTGAAGAAGTCTTCTCCCCCAATCTGCTGTTGTGGACAAACTCTTACTATAAAGCACATTCTCTGCGACTGCCTCAACTTTTCCTCGGCTAGAAGTATTGCATTTGGAACGATTAACCCTTTGAACATTCTACAATCAACTTCAGAACAGAATATCAATTCAATATTTTACTTCTTTAATACTACTACGTTCACTATCTAATATCCATTTATTTAAATTAGAGCCGATAGCCTGTGTTGCTAGTGCTCAATGTCCTTTTTTTAGTCTAAGAATTCATTTCATTAGTCTAAAATTAAAATAATAATAATAATAATAATAATAATAAATTTTGTGAAATAAAATCTAAAAAAAGTGAAGCTTTCTTTCTCAAGGAAGTCATTCAATACTAATTATTTCATTGAATCACACAAGTTAGAAAAAGTAGATTCGTTCATCGATTTAGATTCTAATCGATTAAAGATTACGGTTCAATTCGCACATTGAACTCTCTTTAAGTCAAGCTAGGTCCGCGCTAGGTTTCAAATTTATCTTTCGAGCTGGGACCCGCTTGTCTCTTTATCTCGTGATGAAAATAAGTTGCTGCTGTCATTCTTACCGTCACTTGAGAGGCGTAGATTTACTTCCCTTCTTAATCAAGTTAATTGATTAATTAAGAGTACAACTGATTCGCCCACGTTACAGGGGAGATAAGCTTTAATATTCCAAATCACTTCTCTAGGCACTTCATGTTCATTAGGCTGAATTAATGTAAATATAATTATGAGCTGTTTAACTCTTTTAGAATTGCTGCAAAAATCTAAAAGATGTCTATCACTTTATCTCAATATCGGATTCTATAAAGTCTATCAGAACAATTTTTATTAATACGCGCGAATTGCCTACGTCATATTTAAACTAGCTTTTAACCTTAATACGTCATTATGATTCGAAAATTAATTGGTGTTGTTTATTGCATCGATTGCCAAGCTTTTGCATATTTGCAAAGATTTAGTGTCTTACTTTCAATTTGGTTCTGTGAGTGGCCTCTGTGCTATTGTTGTGTAGATGCTGCTTTTCGTTTTTTCCTTATTATTGATTTGTAAATGAATTAATATTTAATAATTCTTATTATTTTCTTTTCCTGATTTCTCCTTATATATTTTATTATAGTTTTTAGTATTAATTAGAATAAGATTTATTTCGAAGAATCAATTTAGTTCGACTGTTCATTTGTTTTAGTTGAGTTTGAGGTATAAATAATTAAAACAAAAATTCGGGAATCGTCAATAATTTTGTCTTACGTTTAGTCAGATAATAAAATTTCGGAAATTATGAGGAAAGAATTTCTTATCATGGTGGTGTTGTCTTTTCAGCAATAGTGTGGAAACACAGAAAGAGTGTTACTTTGTTGTCCATTTATATTGGCTTATAGTCCGTAGAAAATATCGATCGATATGATAAGCAAACAAAGCAAGCGATCGATATCGCTTTCCAAAAATAGTGCAACAGTCTAACATGCTTATAGGAGTGGTGTAATAAAAGAAGTCGGCCTAGTAATGACCCATTACAGCAAAGTTTACAAGCGGAAAAACCTAGAAGGTCATTTCGTCCTTTGCCGTCTAAGGATGTACAAAACGGTGTTGGTTATTGGCCTATATTGTCAAACAGGTTGACATGTAAAATTCCACTATGTAAGGGTACAACCCAGTGGTCATGTAGTAAACGCTTTATGGTTAAACGCTAAAAATAGTTGTGTCATGGATTTTTATGTTTTCCAATGTAATGGAAAGTATTATTTATATTTGAAATATTCTATTATTGTACGCAGTAAATGTGTAGAACTGAATGATTTTGCATGATAATTTAAAAATACATCAACATGTTTTTTTGAAAATTTAAGTTTCGTGTATTTTTATTTCTCCCGTTAGCTGGAGTATAAAACAATCACTATAAATATTTCCCTTTAAATTAAAACATTTCGAAAGTTCTATTATTGTTAAATATTGAACCAAATTTTAATTTATTGCTGCCACGCATTTTATTAACGACAATTGCGCTATCAAAGTATCCTTGTGTGGCAGTAAAGCTATTTGAAAGAAGTCATCAATACTCTCCTTAAACAAATCAATTGCTTGAAACACTTTTTGTTCTTGCATAGCTTTTGCCGCTTTACGATACAATTCTTCAATTTTAATTAAACGGGATACACTCTCTTTTAAAGAGACGTTTTTCCGGCATCGTGCGCATCTTACATCTTTTAGAACATCTCTCGGAAAATGTAAAATGTTACTACAGTTATTTGATGGGCACCTTAAAAATATGATGAAAGTAGTGAACTTAAAAATATAGACCACACTGTTATGTATTAAATTTCAGTTTTTAGGATGCAGCGAACTTAATTCACGAAATATAAGACTTTTTGCATCCTACATGAAAGGTCACTTTATTTAAACAATATTTAAATATACATTTAGCAACTTACCAAAATCGTACTTGTTTGTCTAATTTCTGCAATGTTGGCCAGTTCTCTTGGCAGGCCATGCAATTGCAATCGAATAAATAACGGCCTCTTAGGGATCTCTGACGATCTTTTAAATTCATCTTAGTGAAAATTGGACCGTAGTTCTCAGCTATCACTTCATTGGGATGATGAGGTTTTGTCGCTGTTAATATAAGATTCTTGCCCACAAAATACCGTGCTACTGTGGGCCAACACTCATGGTTAAAGTAAGCCCCAGTATTATACAAACCGGCACCAATGTACATAATTTTTGAGCCATCAAAAATGTGATCTACACTTTTAACTGTCTGATAAATCTCATGAGCATTATATTGTAAAACTTGTAATAAGCCTAAGAGGCCGGTGCAAACTTTTATTTCGATGGCGGTAGGAATAAAACCCTCAGTTTTGCGTGGACCAAAATATTGAGCTCTTTGCAAACAACGCATTAGAAAGCCCGCCATTAAAGACCGTTGCAAGTAATCATCTGCCTGCCGTGAATCTTCATGAGTGCAGAGATTTTTATATAATAAGTCAGAGGTTTTAAGAGCACTCTCCACATTAGGAGCTTGTGTGAAGATTCTGAGTGCTATATAACACAAAATTGACATACCAGAGCCTGTGTAAATAAAATAATTATTAAAATTGTTAAATTTGCAAGCATGCTGGCTTACCGATAAACAAATCCATAAATTGACATTCAAAGCGATGATAACTTTTGCAAGCCTCCACCATGCATTGAGCGGAACAAAACGCCAGACCAGAGCAATTTGAACAAGGCACCGGAGTCACTAACCTAGAAACACGTTTTTAACAGGTCTTATTGAGTACATGTTTATTGCTATTTATACTTTTCCAGACAATGACAACAAAATCCGCCGTAGAAAGAAGGCAAAAGACAAGCAGCTATCGGCTTTTCATTTAATATTACATCGCCCGTTCTTACTTCATTTTGAGCTGCAATAAACCGCCCTTTCTCTTTGCTTTCCACCAGCTTAACTAACTGAGAAGCACCTTTGAGATCAGGATTTTCACCATTTGTCAGCAGGGGACCCTTGTCAATCAATTTCAGTTTTGGTTGTTTTTTTTCTGATTTTTTTGAAGCCCACTCTTCACGACAGACCTCAATCGTGTGTTTTTTGCCGCCAGCGAATTTTTCAGCAATTTTCAACGAAATCTCAGCGCGCGGCATTTCATCTATAACTATTTATAAAAGAGACGATGAATAAACATGTTAGTTTACTAACAAAAAAAAAAAAATAACTACGCTCGTAAGCTTTGGCTAATTGTATATAATAATCCACATTTTTGTGTGTGTCCAGGCCAAAGGAGGCAGCTAATTTCAAATCACTTAATGCAACCTTCCCCTCATCCATTGCCAGCAATATGGCGGCTCTTGTCCGAAAAGCCATAGCTAAACTAAAACCGCCATCTATTTGCTTATTTACACCTAAAATTGCAAACCCAAAGTTTCAGCCATAATTGCAATAAACAAGTATTCTAAGCTATTTTACCTTTAGCTGGGGCCCTGGTAACAGCTAAATTAGCAAATACCAAGGCTTGTGCCAAATTTTCTTGTTTATTTGTGTTAGCGCTAAGTATGTAATATTTTTCTGCATCCATTCTATTTTGGGCAGAGAACAAAGCATCTTTTTGCTTATAGACGGGTTGAACATTTTCCAAAATGCGCAGTACAGTGTCGCAAATTTCCGGGTCATTAAACATTGAAAGTATGCGTGCTTGATTCGATTTCGATTGACCAAAACAGTTTTGTAACCATTTTTCCCCGCACGTTTGCTTCGTTTCAATATAGAATTTATTAAAAAATCCTTTTTTATCTGATTGTATCGTACGAGCACCGCAAATTTTCTCGTAATTTCTATCCATTGTACTTATCTATTTTAATGAAGTTTGCATCGTAAAATATAAATTTTAAAACTTCTTCAATGATTTGAATGGTGATGGTATTATTCTTTACAAAAATTTTTCTCTGAACAGAGATCGTTTTTGTTGTACATATGAGAATTTCTAAAAATACAATTTCCTACTGAATTTTGACAGCATTAGAGTATAAGTATATTTTTTTGAATAAATTCGCCCACTCGCAGTATAATGGAAAAGATTGACCCTTCGACATTTCGAAGACTAGTCTTCGCACTACACTACTAACCTTTCAGTCTATTTTCTTTTCAAAAACAGCACCGATAATCTTAGTTCGGAGTGTTCACCCCATTTTAGTATGACAATTTATTTATTTGTTCTAAATTAGAATAAATATTTTGAACTTTACGATAGGACAACACGGGAATTCTAAAAACGCAATTGCTTACCTTCCTATACAATGGAAAATAGTGTCGGCCGGTGGAGATATTCATTTAGAATTCTACACAAAAATCTTTTTGCTTTAGCAAGTGCGTAAATGAAAAATACGTATTTAAGCGAAGTTGTTCCGTTATGACTTTTAACAATAAATTTTTGAGCAATTGTGTTAAATTCGCTTTGTTCAAGCGAAGAGAGGATCGTAGTAATGGTAAGTATAGCATTTGTGTTGCAGAAATCTCACTCATTGAAAGCTAAAAAAATATCCCAAATATTTTGATAATATTTATAATTTTTACTATAAATAGCACTCATTAAAAATTGTACCAATTTGATTTAATTGTTGAAAATGCTCTTTTGAATTGTTTATAATGCCTTTTAGGGAAGTGTAGGGAATAAACAATTTCAATTATGAAATTAGGAAGGTTCCCAGAGAAATATTTCCGTATATAGATTCTGTCACGGTCAACCAATCAATACCCAATTAACAAAAAATTTGTGCAATTCGTTATTGTATCCTTCGAAACGCCAATAGACTCACTGCCCGGCAAATATATTCAAGTCGCTATATGAGATACTTTGTGAATTCTCTGACTATAAAAAGGAATACAAGAAAAATAATCTCTCGCCAAAGTTTTCATTCGAAAAATTTTGTTTACTGCAATAGCAATTTGAAGACGTAATATAAATACTTCTTTCGCAGTTAATGAGGTTTTGTCATGATTTACATCACCTGCTGATCGATGTCCTTAGTCCACTCATTTCCAATGCTACGTCCTTATTTTTAATCTTTTGAAGAAGCGAATGCCTTTTCTTCTTACAAGTCGTATGCCGACGGGAACCTATTTAATTTAAAAGGAATGTATATGACCAAATATTTTGTTCCATTATGTTATGTTGTAACACCTATGGAGAATCGTCGAATCACTATTAAATAGGTTGCTGAGGATGTCGGCATATCCTATAGTTTAAGCCATGCAATGTGGCATGATAATGCATCAGTTCAAACATCGTTGCTTGGTTGTAATCATGCTTCAAAGGTCCAGAAAGGGCCGAGTTTTGTCAGGATTAAGTAGATAAAGATCGCTGACGAGTTCAAGGTCCCACCAAAAAACGTCTACCAAAAATGTTAGTTATACCTTGGGCAACCAGAAAAGACTTTGATACAAGATGCATAATGAGGAGGGAAGCACAACGATTTGTTTAACCATTAGAGGCAAATATAGATTTAGACTGCGCAGTTTGCGAACGCAAATTTTAGTGGACACATTGTAAAATTTTTATATTAAAATATTAAAAATTATATCTTTTTGTCAAATAAGGGTTTATATTCAATGATAATCTTTGTGCGCGATAGTCTTCAAAAAATAGATCTATTTTATGCAAATTCTGTAGAGTTAAATTTTACATTAAGTTAGTCTTACACTTCTCATCATGGAATATGAAAAATTTGACATATCGCCTTACGAAGATTCATTTTTTTGTCAAATTATTGCTATGATCTACATATCGATTTTCACCAAGAAATGAGAATTTATCGCGAACTTCTAAGAATTGCAGTATTTTTCATACAAAAACTACGACAACCTTGCGTAAAGCGGCGGGTGGTTTCTGTCGATATGCTTTTGTTATTGTTCTTCATGACAGAATGTAATAAAATAAGAATAAAAAAATAATAATTTCTTCATAAGAAAAAAATAAACAATGTAATAGTGAAATTCCGTTTATATATCTTTCTTTTTATAGTTCCTTATTTATAATAGTTAAAATAAGAGAGAGGAAGTATAAAAAACGAAAAGTCCAAAGTTCGTTTGTATAAGAGTTCATACTCACTAATCCATTAACATATACAGACATATTCAGAAAAAAAGGTGAGAGCAAAAGGCGTCGGATAGCAAAGTGGCAGTGGATCACTGCGCGGCAGAAAGAAAAATTCGCGTGTGAAATTAGTGAAAGCAGAGATCTTTAATACAGAAGTAAAAAAAATTGATTAAAAAAAACAAGTAAAAATCTTTTGATTAACAAATTTTAGAAAAGAACTTGTAGAAAAAAACGAAACAGAAGATTAGTCTTGTAATATGCCAAATAACAGTTAAATTTTCTTTAAGCGTCAATCAGTCGATAGTTTTGATTATAAAAAGAATGTCATGATACACGAGTTTGCTTAAGTACAGTAATAGCAAAAGACAACTTGACATCACTTTCATAAATTTTCAACTTTAAAAGTTATTCATATTTATATTGAACAAATGAACAAGTTAAAATTTACAGAAGAACGCATAATAAATAAGTTAAGATGTGCACAGTAAAATTTTAAAAAAGACACAATAAAAGAGTTAAAATCTATAAAGTACAGATTAACAAAAAAAGAAAATAAATAAGTTAAAATTATAAAGGAAAGTTTAAAATACCACAATAAATAGGAAAAACTTTACAAAGGAAAATTATAAAACAATAAATAAGTTAAAATTATAAAATAAAAATAATATTTATATATATGTAATTTCTGTTGGTAAGGATAAAATAGCAAATGTGCCAAACGGAACAGGCTAAGTAAAAGTAACGAAATCCTGGGATACCTAAGTATAAAAACGAAAAGAGATGGACATCACTTCAATTACTCAAGTGAAAGGAAAGTTAAAATTTATCACTAGATGACAACGATGCCATGAAGGTCATATTAAAGTTAAATGCGAGATAACTTTATTATTTTTATATATTCTACTGTTTGTATAATGAAGCAAAAAAAAGAAAGAAGTTTGGTTTCGGTTAGGAGAAGTGATTAGTGATCGTTATGTACATACGAACGGAGGACAGATTAGGAGGAGAAGATGGAAGAAAAACTCCTCTAATGTATTTAAATTTTATTAGTGTATTTAGGCTTAAGTTGGTCGACCGTTACAATAAAATATAGCGCCCAATGGAGAGAAGAAAAAGAAAAACTTTTTTTCAATATCAAACATATTTCAATAATTTGATTTATTTTTCTTTATACATATTTGACAATGATATAAGTTGGTTGCCCATTACAATAAATGTGATTAAATAATACAAAATAAAAAAGCGATAAAAACGAATACGTAGAGAAAGAAAAAATTAAAAGAATTCTCAACATAGTTTAATTTATTTTGAAATTTTAATTTTGCTCTAGAAAATAGGATTTTCAATATATGAGTCAGTAACTCTATAATAAGATGGTTAAACAAAATGGAGTATTTGCTTTAAATTCTACTATTATCATTCCCCTCCCAATAATCTAAGTAGGTCATATTCGACAATGTTGATCGCTTAAAATAAAATAGTGCACAATAAAAGGCAAAAAGGCACAGTATTGTAATGGAATAGAAATCTCAAAAAAACTAAAGAGTTATCTCTGTCCGCGTTTAGCATCACTAGCCGAAGCGATGGGAAGGAGTTGCTCTTAAAACCGTGACTGAAGGGGAGCTGCCTCCATCTCATATAGCAGTTGGTTATTTCGCCGAAGATGAGAACGTTGCGCCAGGAGACTTTTTAAAAATTCCGAAGGACCAGAATAAGGGCTCGGTTTTGGAAGCTATTCCAGGGGGATGGTAAAAGGAATAAGTCTGGCAGTGACCGAATCTTCGGTAGCAGTGATGAAAAAAAACGCACATGTTACCAGCTCCAGTTTTGGTTCAGTTTCGCTGAGACCTAGCGTTAAGGTAACGGGACCATATGAATACGGCAAGGCCGCGATCAACAACGGAAAAGGCGTAGCAGGCTCTACCCGGACAGCGGTAACGGCCTCGTCAACTAAAAGTGCCACGAGGGAACACAAGGCTGAGAAAAAGTGTGGTGCGGCACCTCCAACAAAGGTTTCGGCTGGCAACTTGACGGTGGTCCCTCTATGGCCTCGAAACCTCATGGACCACTGGCACCGAATTACAGGGCGACAAAGTGCGAATTGACCACAGGCGCACGAAGCTTAAGGAATGCGCCTCGAAGGTTACTTATCAGCACACCAAGCAGAAAAAATAGGCATATTAGGTCCCTCCAAGTGAACTTGCAGCATGCTGATTTCGCCTCTTTGGTTCTTAGCAGGAGACTTGAACGTAATCGTCTTCCAGGAGCTCTGGATACATGCGGGCGCTATCCAAGACCTGCATAATAAGAAAGGTAAGTTGGGCTATAATTCTAGTGGTGCTTTGGGCTGCGTTGCCAGTCTCCAGTAGGGAGCGTACAGTGTTAATAGCCTCCGCTTACCTACCGGGCTACACAGGAATACAAACAACCGACGTACGAAGTCTTCGACTTTGACGTTAAAGCGCACGCCACGGTGTAGGGCTACTCAAATGAAAATCTAAAAAGCGTGTGCCTTCATGAATGTTTCCGAGAATTTAAATTGATTAAATTAAATTGAGCTAAGCAACCCACGCTTAGGAATGTAATTAACGGAGAAGTGTTAGATCTTGCTTTCGCCAGTCCTTGCCTAAGTTCCTCTATCTTAGTGTGTTATGTGTCTAGCGCCGTCTCATCGTCGGAGAACCAACATATAGGGTTCGATATCGCGGCTGTTGCTGTATCATGCCAAACCTACAAAGATCCCAAATGTACAAAATGGAAAATGTTCTGTTTTCTACTTTCCGAAAATAAAACACGTCTCCCCATATCTAAAGCAGCGACGGGGATATTGAACTAAAAGTGCAAACGCTTTGTTCAAACATGCAGGAAGCGTACCGAGCAATTTGCCTTCAAAAGACCAAAAAGTCGAAAGGAGACATGCTTTGGTGGAGTCAGAGGTTTCGAAAGCTCAGATCTCAAACCCGAAAACTTTTTAACAGTGCTAAAAATGTCATTGATTGGGCAAAGTATAAGGAAGTCCTCTCCACATATAACGCTGGGCAGAAGCGGTCAAAGCGGGCCAATTGCAGGCAGCACTGCTAAGAAGTAAGTAGTCTTTCAGAGGCAACGCGGCTCCAGAAATCCGCAGTCAAAGACCACAATAATGGGGTATGCACTCTAAATTTATTATATTATATATTTTATAATTTCGTTAACTCAAAACGTAAACTTAGGAGTTATTAGTTCATTTTATGTTATGCGACTCCATTGATCCGCTGGTTTAAGTCTTATCTTACTGGTCGAAGTCAAAAAGTATGGTTTAACTCAATGTTTTCTCG